CACTGCACTCCAGTCTGGGCAACAGAGTGAGACTCCAACTCAAAAAATAAAAAATAAAAAATAAAATTAAAGCAATGTTTACTCACCAGGATTATGTTTTTTTTAAAAACTGCTTTCTCTTTTTGGTCATATCTTATAAGTCAGTAAGTGTATTTCTTATAAGACTTTAAAGTTATGCTAAATAAAGTTTTATAAATACATTTTAAAATAAGGAACATCAAATGAATCTCAGAAAACATATATTTTCCTAACCTATTGTAATGTTCAAGTTTACAACTGAGTTTTTTGACTTCATGTTTGATTTTCTTTACCTTTAGGAAATTGAAAAGGAAGACATTACTTTAGAAAATGCTAGAGTTGATGAATATACAGCCAGTGTTGAAGATGATTTTGAAGTATGTATAAAAGTTAAAATTTTCCTCAGCTTAAAAATAACTTATTCTTAAAAATCAACTTATGGTTAATAGTTTAATAGCCTTTTAAAAATATTTTTATTGCTCTTGATACTCAATATCTGGCTGGGTGCAGTGGCTCATTCCTGCAGTCCCAGCACTTTGGGAGGCCAAAGTGGGAGGATTACTTGATCCTAGGAGTTTGAGACCAGCCTTGACAACATAGTGAGACCCCATCTCTACCAAAAAAAAAAATTAGCCAAGTGTGTTGGCATGCATCTGTAGTCACAGCTACTCAGAAGGCTGAGGCAGAGGGGTCACCTGAGCCCAGGAGGTTGAGGCTGTGGTAAGTCATAATTGTGCCATTGCACTCCAGCCTGGGAAGCTGAGTGAGATTTCGACTAAAAAAAACAAAAACAAAAATAAAAACAAACTCAATATCTTACTAGGTTTGACTTAGATGTAGCCATTACGTATAAAATCTTGGTATACTTCTACCCATGTTTACAAATATGATATTATTAATGATTTTACAATTTAACCCATTTGCACATTATTATTATTATTATTATTTTTTTAGAGACAGGATCTCACTGTGTTGCCTAGGCAAGGAGTGCAGTGGGGTGTTCATAGTTCACTGTAACCCTGAACTCCTGGACTTAAGAGATCCTCCAGCCTTAACCTCCTGGGTAACTGGGACTACAGGTGTGTGCCATGTACCTGGCTGATTAAAAAAAATTTTTTTGGTAGGGATGATGTCTTGCTATGTTTCCCAGGCTGTTTTTGAACTCCTGGCCTCAAGAGACCCCTTCTGTCTCAGCCTCCCACATTGTTGTTATCAGTAGTCCTAGTGTATGTAGTTCTATATTGTGTGATTCATTTTTAGAGAAATAAATGTAGTGGTTGATGTAGATTTATAATTCGATGACATTAAAATCATGAACTAGAAACATATTTCTTAGCCATAATAAGGACTTGGTCTATTTTAAATTATACGTTTATTCAGTATGAGTGTTTTTATTCAGCGAGAGTGTTACTGTAAATCAATTTGTCTTAAAGGATTCTAAAAATGTCATTGTTTACAGGACTATGAAGATGACTTTGAAGTTTGTGATGATGGCGATAATGATAGTAATAATGCACCTGAGTCAAAAGAAGAAATTGAAGAACTTCCTTTAGCCCAAAGAAAGGAAATACAAGAAATTCAGAAAGCCATCAATGCTGAAAATGAAAGAATTGGCAAGTTATCTTCAAAACTGTTTCGGAAGCAAGGTCGAATGGAGTGTGAAAGGGAGCCCAGCACAGGTACATGAGTAAATGCTACTGGTGGTGTCTGTGGCCTGAGCCCTCACCAGGCGTCTGTCATACACAGAATTGCAATTGTCAGGCAGGCAGATGAGTGGGTTTCTTACCCACTGTGGTAGTGCCATGCCCTTTGCACCTAGCTCATATGAAGCACTCAGAAGACGGGAACATGTTAAGGATTTTCATATATAGAGAAGTTGCACATCACTTTCTGCCCAACACCCAGGCCTGCAGGTCCAGCGGGTGCCATGGCCCTCCTCAGTGGGTGGTGAGGCTCATCTGTCCTGAGGTAGCTGTGGCCCTCTTCAATAGGTGGCAATGATCCCCCTGTCCCAAGGGGGCTGCCGGCACCGTGGCCCTCCCCAGTGGGCAGCAATGCTCATCCTGGCCTGTGGGGACTATGATCCTCCTCAGTGGGTGGCAGTACTCATCCTGTCCTCAGTGGGCTGTGGGCACCAAGGCCCTCCTCTGTGGGCAGTGATGCTTGCCCTTTCCTGAGGGGCCTGTGGACACTGTGACCCTTCTCTGTGGGCAGTGATGCTTGCCCAGTCCTGAGTGGGCTGCGGGTGCCCTGGTCCTCCTCGGTGGGCGGCAATGCTCATTTTCCTGTGCAGCCTGCCTCTTGCCCATCCTATGAGCACATGCTCTTGTTTTTCCTAGTGGTGTTTTACTTGGGTTTTCACAAAGGGGAATAGTCTGGGTGTCAGTAGGAAGCTGGCAGTATCAGCAATGAGATCCCTCACAAGTTGCGTGTAGCCAAGGGCCAAAGTGGCCTTGAAGATCTGGATACAGTCTGACAAATTCTGTCATAAAGCATGCTCTTGACTGAACCTATTTCTCCCTAGGATCTTTTTATGAAATTAGATTTTTTTTTGGAAATCCTAGACGTCAGGATATGATAAGTTACTTGTGAGAGTAGAAGTAAATGTTTTAGAATCAATTAAAGCAAAAACTATGACATTCTGATAAAACATTGGCATCAAAGGTGAAATAGGACTATATTAAAATATTATTGGATGATATACTACTTTACATTATCTAGTAAAATAATCAGTAATTCATGTAATTAATTATAATTAGTAATTAATATACCATGTAATACAAATGATGGTTTTGCAGAATGATTATTCTGCTTATATTTTGTGCCTGTTGTAGAGGTAGCAAAACTCAGTGGGGCAGGGCTGATATTTAGTATATTCTTTTTTTTTCTTATTTAATTATTTTTTAGAGACAGGGTCTTGCTCTATCCCCAGGCTGGAGTGCAGTGGCGCAATTGTAGCTCACCGCATCCTTGAACTCCTGGGCTCAAGTGATCTTCTTGCCTTAGCCTCCTGGGACCTACAGGTGTGTGCCACCACATACAGCTAATTTATTTTATTTTTTCACTTAATTTAATTTTTATTTTATTTTATATTTTATTTTTCATTGAGATGGGAGTCTCACTTTGTTATCAGGCTAATCTCAAACTCCTGGCTAAAGTGATCTTCCTGCCTTGGTCTCCCAAAATGCTGTGATTACAAGAGTGGGTTTTTGTGCCTAGTCTTTTTTTTTTCTTTTTTGTGCCTAGTCTTTATAGTAATCTTTAAATTTGTAGCTTTGCAGTCACTGGTACCTGTTGTGGCAGGGGTAGGGATTTGCCCTCCTTTTGACCCTATTGACTGGCTGAGGCCCAGGGCCTGCTCCCTGTCCTGTGGAGGAGAATGTGCTCAAGAAGGGTCTGTGTGCTGCGACTTCGCAGCGGCATGTAAAGCTTGCCTGCCCTGGGTTGCTGAAACGTGAGCAGGATTTTGTTAGTGTTCCCAATTTCCTCAGCAGATCTTGAATTGCCTTTTTTGTTATTCATTCCCTACATGTGTGCTTAGCCTTACATCCTTATTAGCCTGCTTTCCAAAGATTGGAATTTACCACTGCTAATACATAGATGATTTTTTGGGCCTCGAAGGAATGATTCACTTTCATGTACACTGCTGCAGAGAGAGTTAGAGCTGCTCTCGTGCTTCTGTGATGTTGGGCTGGCATGGCATGGAGGTCGGGTTCTCTATGGCAGAAGGCAACAAGGAGCAGTGCTTGGCAGGGCTCACTCTGGGTTTCACATCTGGCTCTATCACTTACTAGCTGTGTGATCTTGGGCCATTACTTAACCTCTCTGTGCCTCAGTTTCTTTATCTGTAAAGTAGAGGGAAGGCTTTCTTTAGGGTTAATTAGGCTGATACACGTAAAGTTCTTCAGAGTGCCAGGTGAATCCTGGGCGCTAAGGAATGTCAGCTGCTGTTAAGATTTACTTACTGCCCCAGGAGAGCTGATAGAGTGCTCATTTTCTATGTCCCACTTGGCTTTCCATCTTGGTATCATTTTATGTGAAATGTCCTGCTGCACCCTGTGGTGATTGAACTGTTTGGTTATAAACTGCCCACACTTGTCCATGGGACTAGGAAACTGTTTGGTAAATAGCTTTTTCCAGTGCGCTAAAGTTATGCCATGGTGTTTGAAAGCATTTATACATCTCCAAAAGATGAATCATCTACTTGGTCAATGAATAAGTCTTTGCTGAGTGCTAGCATCTGGCACAGAGGTGCAGATTCTGCTTCAGGGATATCTTTATTTGAGTCTTTAAGAAAATGTTTATTTTTATTTATTTATTTATTTATTTTTGAGTTGGAGTCTTGCTCTGTCTCCCAGACTGGAGTGCAGTGGCTGCTCCCAACCGCCGCAGCCTCGACCTGCTGGGCTCTGGTGATCCTTCTGCCTCAGCCTTCCGAGTAGCTGGAACTACAGGTGCGTGCTGTCACGCCCGGCTAATTTTTGATTTATTGTAGAGATGAGGTCTTGTCAGGTTGCCCAGGTGGGTCTCGAACCTGTGGGCTCAGGCAATCCACTCACCTCGGCCTCCCAAAGTGCTGAGATTACAGGCTGAGCCACCGAGCCCGGCCCTAAAATGTTTATTTTTAATGAGAAAAGTAAAGTACTGGTCTTGTTCAATGGCAGTCATTTATTCAGTTATTATTTTTATTTATATAAATTTAGAGGGTACAAGTGCTTTTTTGTTACATGGATATATTACATAGAGGTGAAGTCAGGGCTTTTAGTGTATACAGCACCTGAATAGTGTACATTGTATTAATTAAGTCATTTCTCATCATACACCCTACCCCGTTCCCACCCTTCTAAGTCTCCATGGTCTCCATGGTCTGTCATTCCATGTTGTATGCCCATGCGTGTACATTGTTTAGCTCCCACTGAGAACATGCAGTATTTGTCTTTCTCTGTCTGACTTCTCACTTAGGATAATGGCCTCCAGTTTTATTCGTGTTGCTAGGAAAGACATGATTTTATTCTTTTTTTATGGCTGAATGGTATTTGTTGTATATATAGGCCACATTTTCTTTATTCACTCCTATATTGATGGATGCTTGGGTTGATACCATGACTTTGCTATTCTGAATAGTGCTGCAGTAAACATATGAGTGCAGGTATTGTTTTTTTTAATATAATGATTTCTTTTCCTTTGAGTGGATACCTACTAGGTAGTAGGTGGATTGCTGGATTATATGGCAGTTCTATCTTTATTTTTTAAAGAAATCTCCATACTGTTTTTCACAGAGGTTGTACTAGTTTACATTTCCACCAACAGTGTATAAGATCCCTTTTTTATGCATCTGTTAATTTTCTCTCTCTCTCTCTTTTTTTTTTTTTTTTTTTTTTTTTGAGTCAGAGTCTCACTCTGTTGCCCAGACTGGCATACAGTGGCATGCTCACGGCTATCCCAGCATTCACATGCTGGGCTCAGATGATCCTTCTGCCTCAGCCTTCCAAGTAGGCGGAACTACAGGCACGCGCTATAACACCCAATTGATTTATTGTAGAGACGAGGTCTCGACAAGTTGCCTGGGTAGATCTCGAACCCGTGGTCTCAGACCATCCACTCACCTCAGCCTCCCAAAGTGCTGGGATTATAGGCTGAGTGTTGCCTATGTTTTTGAGGTCTTAGTCATAAATTCTTTGCCTAAACCAAAGTCCAGAAGAGTTTTCCTAAGGTTTTCTGACAGTGAGGGAGCCAAGATGCCAAGATGAAATCACTTTCCATGGTTATGAAGCAAGTAACATGTAGTGCTAGGACCTGAACTCAGGTCTCCTAGCCTGGACCCGAGCACCTTCCTGAGCCTCATGCATCACTGGTCTTGGGCTTTGTTGTGAGTGTCAAATAAGATAATATGTAGAAAAGGGCTGTTAGAGTTGTATAAAACTAGTGTGGTAGGAAAAGTTCAAACACACATATCCAAGAAGACAGAGTAAGATATAATCAAAATAAATACATAAACAAATAGATATAAGGATCAGTATGTACAGGAAACTACAGAAATCTTTAAGGGGAAAGAGGTGGACTGAGGAATGCTTTATGTTCATGAGGAAGGATCATAGATGGAGTTGTTTGTCATAACATGAACCTTTTCTGTCAGCTTGATACTTAGCTAATCTGGTCACATCTTTGGAAATTTTAGAAAGTCTTTTGATGAAGCTTATGCTCACATTTTCCTTTGTGCTCTTTGACATATTAAGTCATTAATTCAGTATTTATTCATATTTTTATAGCTATTTTTGGTATATCCATATCCCAATTCCCTTACTAGAATATCATCTTTAGTTTTATTTTTTGTAGGGTGCGGGGGAACGACATGTGATTGTGCCTTATGTGCTTATAGTCTTAAACATTTCTAAAACTCCTTATAGTGTGATTGTCACATATAAGAGATGATAGTAGATTTTGCTTTGTTGTCTGAAAATTTTAGGTGAAATAAACAAGAGCAAGGTGCTTATGGAAAGTATTTATCTTTGTCATTAGTTTCAAGTAAAAGGCTTATTGAATATAGTTGTTATTTATGCTTCTAATTGTTTTACTCTTGAATTTTTTTTTACTTGGAGGAAATTTAATATGTCACAAAAATAACTCTTCTCTCCTTATACAGATACAAGCAACTCTCCTTCCAGACCTGCTGTTTGTGGAATTTTTGTGGATTTTGCAACAGCCTCACACCGTCAAAAGAGTCGGATTCAGGCCCTTAAGCAAAAGTAGGTGGATTGGGAAATTTGCCAAAGGTATTATGGAGTTTTAATGTACTTTTCTTCACATTTTATTTTATTTTATTTATTTTTAATAAAATTTTGTTTTCTTTCTTTTTTTTTTTTTTTTTGAGTAGGAGTCTCACTCTGTCGTCTAGGCTGGAGTACAGTGGCATGCTCACGGCCACCGCAGCCTCGATTTGCTGGGCTCAGGCAATTCTTCCACCTCAGCCTTCCAAGTAGCTGGAACTACAGTTGCGCACCACCACGCCCAGCTTATTATTATTTTTTAAATTTATTGTAGAGACAAGGTCTCGCTAAGTTGCCCAGACTGGTCTCGAACCCCTGGGCTCAGGCAGTCCTCTCACCTCCGCCTCCCAAAGTGCTGGATGACAGGTGTGAGCCACTGCACCCGGCCCACACATCCTTTATATTAGTAAAATGTAGGCTAAATCCCCTTTCTCTCTCCAGATAGCCGGTGGTTAAACATTTATCAGCATAGCCTGGGCCTAGAACACACGCTTATGTAGTCATTCCATAAGTATTTGCTGGCCACCAGGACGAGGATACAGATCAGTTAAGGATGAAATGACTCGGCTGAGGTCACATATCTCAAGTGGCATAGGAGGAACAAGAGCCCCAGGCACTCCCAGGGCCAGTGACTCTCTCCCAGGACCGGACCACGGTTTCCAAAACCTTTTCATTCTACCAAGCAGTAGGGCGATGGCCCGGGCGCCCAGAAAGTGAAAAGCAAGGACCCAGTACACTTTTCAAATATGGAGCTTTTAATTTTATTTTCTCTGCTGATTGTTTAGGTATAGTATTTAATTGGTGCTATATTTCTCTTTGGGTTCGGATACTAATAGTACAAGTGTGTGTACTGCTACATACTATAAGCTGGACTTCTGATGTTTGTCCTTAAGTTCCTGGCTGTCAGTTATCCTAGGAGTCCAAGCCTATTTTAGCTGAGACAGATTCACAGTCACACACTCGCAGAGCTGGTGGCCAGAAACCTGCTCAGCAGTGAGTGGGCCTGGCTCATGTTCATCTCAGTATGACATTGCTCTCCCTGAAGGTGCAGTTGCTGTCACTTAGTCCTGTGGTAATCCTGTACGCTGAGTATTGTTGCATCTATTTTTCAGGTGAGGAAATTAGGAGAGATGAAGAATAAGAGTGCTAATCATAGGTAACATGTATTCAGTGCACTCATGTTGTACAGTGTTCCACCAGGCACTGGGCTTCACATGCATTCCCTCAATCCTTGCAGTCCCAGTTCACAGATGAGGAAAGA